TCGCCTGCAGCTGCGTGTCATACACGATCGGGGAAGCTGAGGCCGCCTGAAGCCGATTTGACCGCATCGTCATCGGAGGGGTAAAGTGTTGCCGAGTCACATAAATTCTGTTGGCACACATCACCCTTTCTTGAGAATTATATCAGGCAAATTGATATGCTCACGGTAGCGGTCACCGTGATGAACGGTTAGTTATCTCGGTGATGATCTAATTTGTATGTTAGTCTCTACTGCAGTGCACGGCCAGCTGGCCCGATGGCTCTACTCTTCGGGAGCCTGGAGCCCACTGTAACAACCACACACACACACGCACACACACATAAATGGAAACGGATTGTATGCACGTTGCATTATATTTACAATGTGTTATGATGCAGGGACAGGGCACTTTAAAACGCCAAGTTTGAAGTAAAGAATCATGAGTAGTCAAAAAACAGTCAAAAATCGTAAGTCTCCCCAAGTAGTATAGTAGATACCGAATTTGAACTCGGCCGTTAGCATCAAGAGTACGATGTCATGCTAGCCCCGTGTCGTGCTAGCGAAACTAATACAGTACAGCTCGACGTAGACAGTAACAAGCAAAGGCGCAGGAACGAAGAACAAAATGCCCCACATTGCAGACCTTGCTTGTGTTGATGTCTATGAACTTCCCGCTCTGGCTTCTTTTAAGAACTGGCTAAGTGGATCGCGGTGGTTCCTAACAGATCACCCTGCTGGATCACCTGTTGGTGCTGTCCGCACCCAAACACTGTGCTGGCCGCCTACGGGTGGCTTGCGAGTGGGTATAGGAGCGACACCATAACTGCTTAAGTGCGAAAGCGCAGTTTCAGGATACATGTCCGTGAGGTGTTGTAGGCTTTGAATTTTTTTACTTTGAATGGATATATGCGATGCCTGTTGCTTTTCATGAGTTCGGCTGTTCTGACGTATCAAATGACGGAAGGGGAGTTTTCTAGGAGTGCTTAGTGGATTTGAAGCAGTTGAATACCGGAATTCAAAGTCATCACATAATGCGTGCATACGCCGCCGAGCTCTTCCACACACTGTGTAAGGTGTGGCGCATACGATCATGTCCTGACGCAACGCGCCAACGCCGTGATACTGCAGTGGAGCGCATCTTGTTTCCCGCCAACGGCAGGAGAAATGCGGCATCAGCAGGAATGTCGCAATGAGCTCGTATTGTCGCAATGAGGAACCTCATCCTAGCTAGCAACAATCTTGCATCATAATTCGTTCATCTGTGTTATCCAGTTTCCATTTTACGTCGTCCCCAGTACGTGTGGCAAAATGTGAAATTTTACTCGTATTTCCTTTTGAAGCTCCTTTTGAAGGCTCACTTGCACTGAGTTCGCCGCAGGTTTGGCACTGTTTGGCGAACCGCATGATTGCGCACGCACAGGACACCGCAGGAGCCATACTTGGGAAGCTGTGCCTTTGATTAGTTTCCATGGACTTGCTAAAGCTTGGATCGCTGCGTATGGACTTTTCATGCTCAGGTATAATACGGAACCATCAGCAACTCCGGCGGAACTCTCGGCGGAACACTCGGCCCCGTACTGACACTGGCCCATGGAGATCCACAAATCAAATTTGATTGAGTTTGGGCGTATGTAGACTGATCTGTAATGGCAGTTAGAAGGCTTTGTTGGATATAATATTCCGGTATACGATATATGGTTGCCGGCCCAACGATCGAACGCCAATCGAGACGGTCATCGTTACAAAACACATACAGCCTCGAAATGAGGAAAATCCAGCTTTGAAGCGCGTGTTTTGCAGTACCAGGATTTAACGAAAAGAGGTCGCTTTACGTCGGTGCATGCTACTGGCAACCGCCGAGACATCTCGAGGCCCTGTTCCAATGAACAGACCACGTCCGCATGGCGTTAACCTCAGCTTAGGGGATGGTCTCCGTTGGAAAACGTAAGATTTGTCTGCTGCAAGAGGCATTCGGCATCTTATGTCTGGGCTTTTGCCTGTTTCGCTCTCTAATGCTCCGTGAACCTTGGGTCGCCGTGGCATGCCAAGCTCTTGTAAACTCGCCTAATGTCAATTTTTGTAAACTTATTGACATACGTTTATTATTTGCATATAAAGCAGCATTTACAAACACTTGGCCAGTACGATGGCATCGCCCGCTTTGCCAAGGCCAGCGTACGATTGTCCCCGAAAACAACAACCCTGCTCTCTGCCCTGCTCTGGTTTGTATTATACAGCTTAACTTGAACTTAACATAGGATTCATAAACTCCCATACCATGCCAGCTGCATTTTTGTCGTCACGGCCAATGCCAGGCGACGAGGAAAAATGTAGCAGAGGTTTGATTAATAAACATCCATTGCTACATAACATTACCGGCACTTGTGCAGGCATACTTAAGGCCTTTAGGATATACTGAAGTCCATTATGTCAGCAGCACCTCCCGATCCAAACTCAGGCTGTATATTTGAACGTTACTAAGGAGCTCTTTTTGCGGCTCTTGTAATGGACGGCTTCCCAAGAGGTGAAACTGACCGCCCCGCGCCGAGTGACTGGCAGACCGAAGAGTACGCTTGGGACAGCCGGCGACTTGTGGCTACACGTTTAGGTGCGAAAGCATTAATAAATAGCGGTTAGCAAGCCTGGCTTCGCATCCGACTAAAAGCTATTGCTGCATTCCGTATAATGCGTTTGGACAGGTCCAGATACGGTCGCTGGCGCTGCTCGAGCTGGAAGTGCTTACCAGGATGAGGATGCCGGAGAACTCCAACAGGGTGATGCCCAGACTAATTCACAGTCTGCGCCCTATGAGACGTGCATGGTACGCCGCGCTTTAGCCGCTCGGTTCTGAACCCATGTCAACACCTGTGAACTTGGTCGGCAGGGGTTTTCATCTCTTTCGTAAAATCGTACTCCCCGCGTCTTGTTGCCAACATGGGTTGGGTCAGCGAAGCAGTACCATGGACCCCGTTGACCTATGAAAGGGGGCCTTCCCCAGACGTTGTGGTGATTGACTGGTCCGAGGCGCCGCCAGAACCTGTTCGCGGGTTCGGGGACAGCCGCTTATTGTCTTTCCGTAAGGCACGCTCCTCGGAACTGGGTTTGGGTCGCAACACGGTCGCGCGGCCTCGACTGTCCTCAGCCAGCGTCTTTGCCCTCCATGCAGGGGTTTGGGGGAAAGTAGGAGAAGGACGCAGGGAATGCCAAGACGTCGACCCAAATGAATAACCCAGATCGTCTACCGCTTAAAACCTGTTGGCCACGGCGAAATAGCAAGACATGTAGTGAGCTGCGTTGCCAAGCCAGCGAAATCCAGCCCTTGTTCCACATTTGCTGCCCGTGTAACGGGCGCTTTTGGGTTGCCATGTTGACCACACGTGCTGAAAACCTAAAACACTTACCAGGACATGCGCATAACATGATTCCCCATGTCAGCGGCGTCACTTTCCGGTGTTTTAAGACCTGCAGAAACTTGGAAAACGTCGTCGTGCTGCATTTCTTCATAACGATTTTGGGGTGGGTAACGACGCAGGAGCTGGTGTTTTGGGGAGGGCCCGTCGTCCTCCGGCGCGATTTCTTTCGTCGGTGGCCAGCAACCCTCCCTTTGTAATAACATGCACCTTTGCAAAGTATTGCATTCAAACCCGTACTCTCCCCCTGGGACCAACAGATTTGCATTCTGTTGAATCTGCACCTGTCTCAGGACCCATTCCACCTCCACGCCAGCTCGCCTGGCTCATCGACTGCACCCACGCCGCGAGACATGGCATCTCCCTTCCCCGCCACCATCTTAGTCGCGGGAAGAGCGCCTCCTGAGCGACGCAGGGCCCGACCCACATCCTGCTTTACTCTTCCACGTCAGCAAAAGCCTTGCACTCCTGCACTTTCCTAACCTTTTTTGCGTCATCGCCACCCTGGCCGGCCGTAGGTCAAGGATTGCTCTGTGGACTTGTCCAGCTGCAAGGCCTATTATCGCCGCTTTCGAATCTGCGAGCGTCACCTGAAGACGCTTTCGCTCTGCATCGAGGGAAAGCTCAGTCGGTTTTGTCAGCAGGTAGGCATGGGTGTGGGCCGGGCCGGAGCGGGGTGAGGTCGATTATGTCTTTGAAGCAGCGTGGTACTAGCAGTATGGCAGCAGGTGGCGGCGACCGCGGCTACCTCAGCCATGTCGATATGTGGAACAGCCATGGTTTAGCGTGGCTATACCGTAGTATAGTCATCCCTAAGTCGACCATAAATCCATTAGGTCACCCTTCGTCCAACGGTCTTCTTTATATGCGCTTCCTTCCTCTCCCCTCTCCTTAGTCTACAGCTTTGGACGGTGGAAGTTGATTTTTCTTTACTTTGCGGTTGTTTTCCCTTCCTCTCCTCTCCTCCCTCGCATCCACTTGACAGTGTGGTCGTTTCCATGGGCTGGAGGAGTTCGAGGGCAGCAAGCGGTGAGCGCGGCGTTATTCTCTCGGTCCGGATCAACGATCCTTCCTTCTCTTTGCATCAGTGCGCGCCCCCACATTTTCCTACTGGCGCATAGTACTCCGGGGATAGCACACCAGCCTCCCGGGTCAGGATGGCGACCGTGTTAGGTGGGGGTGGGGAGTGGGAGGCGCACATATGCATGTGTACCAACAGCTTATTAGCAGTGAGCCAACCAGCCAGACCTCCTTCGTCCCATAACGCCGCCGTCAGGCTGGCGTATGAAATATTTATCAGCTTACGCCAGCTCATTTTGTTTTAATTTACGTCAGCTTACTGTATTTTTTGCTCTTCGCCGCCTTTAGACTTACTTTAGGAGTTTTTAGGACTTACTTTTTAGCAGTTTTTTTCCTGCTTCCTTTCCGCATTTTATTTCAGCCTTGGCGACTAGGTAGGTAGTTTTCCGCTATCTTCAAGACTACATCACCGCGAGGACTCCTCCTTCACAAGTCGCGGCCCCTTGATTACTTCTTACGTACTTCTGGCGTATCGGCGTAGTCTATCCTTGGCATCAGCTTCACCCGTTCACGTGGTTCGTCTTCTTTCCCCTTCCTCACCACCTTTCCCCGGCTTTCACCCCCGTCTTTACCTTCACCTTCACAACCACTAACCGACAGGAGCTGCCGGCGGGCTTTGTTAACAAGGTTCTACAAACGACGTAACATGCCCGTGCCGCAGGACGTGCTGCCCACCACTGCGTGAGGCACTGGGCAATTATTGGGGGCAGTGTGTGGAAACTAAATTTGGGGAAAAGGGGGGAAAGCCGCATTTTACGGTTTTCCTAGGAAGGGGTTGCCGTAGCTGTGTTGCCGTCATCTTCATTTATTACAAGCGTTAATCTGTTCGTTACCATAATGCCAGCCTTGCCTCGCTGTGGAACACCACAGCTGTGTTTTTCCACGGAGTAGAAACCGCCGCTTTACTGAGCCGCTGAGGGATCTCCTCCTTGGCGTGTGGTACGTCCAGCCACATCCTTTTCCCACGTCTCACTCCTCGTGTTTCCTGAGTGTGTGGACATTTCTTGACTTTCCTTCTTCCTTTTTTTTGTTTCCTGACTATCCGTTTTCCAAACTTCGCGTCACCTAATGGATCTCCCGTCCGTATGTGCGGCGCAATCTTCATCCTCGGCAGTGACAACACCCAACGCCAGCCAGCTAAGGTCGCGGTAAGCGAACATGTTTTGTAGTACAGAAAGACCGCATGCATGCCTTTCCTCCTCCCAGCCGTTATATTCAAACGATCCTGAATATCCCATATGCTTTTTGCCAACCGTGCAAGCGCTTTGTAATCCTTGGTGAAACAGCTGCGCAGCATACTACCATACTGCTTGACGCACCACTGGCGTGTCCTTTGCTATTGCTTTTGTTGTTGCTGCTGCTGCTATTGTTGCTGCTGCTGTTGTTGTTGCTGTTGTTATTGCTGTGGTGGTGGTGGTGGTGGTGGTGATTACGGTCTCTATCGGGGCTTAGGCTGGATGGAGTGTTGGCGGCGCCATGCAGCAGGATTCCAAGGCCAAGGCCCGAACCCCCACCAGCAGCGATCCCAATCCGGTCCGCCGCAAGCGTGGCCGGCCGCGCGCCCCCCCCATTGACGTGCGGGACCTGCCGCCAGACGATCCGCGTGTGGCGCTCTCATCTCAGCAGCAGCAGCAGGAGCAAGACGAGCAGCAATCCAAGTCGGAATGCGAGCAGGTACGCTCGGCCGGCCGCGCATGTGGGTGAAAAGTGGGGCCTCGGGCACCTTCTGGCTCCGCTCAAAACACACTCCGCCACGCCTCTCGAAATCACCTCCTCTCCTCTTACACATATCCGCCCGGCTGTGGCTCGCAGCCTACCATTTTTTCACATTTTGAAATTCCACAGCACAATTTCGCATCCCTGCGTTGTACGCTATGTGCGGTGCGGTGATATGTATATGCAGGACAATAATGGCCGCTCGGGCGGACTTGCCCGCGGCGCCGGCGGCGGTTTGCACTCAACCGCCGACATGCACTCGCCCGAAACCGCCAGTGATGGCAGCAGCAGCGGCAGCGGTCGCACGTGCGCAAGCCCTCAGGCGCCACTCCTGCGCAACCGCGGCCTGCGCGGCGCACCCGACATTGCGTTTGAGGGCTGCTTGCACGGCGGGGGTGGCAGCGGCCAGCCGCCGCCGCAGGCGCAGCGCTACGCCAGCTCCTTGCATGTGCAGCAGCAGCAACAACAGCAACAACAACAGCAGCAGCAGCAGCAGCAACAACAGCAAGAATTTCGTCAGGCGTTGTTAGGCCAGGTGCAGCTACAGCAAGAGCTGGAGCATCAACACCACCAGGGGATGTACCAACAGCATACGCGGCGGGCGGCAGCGGCTGTGCAGCGGCACTTAACGGAGGCGGCGGTGGCAGCTGCAGCCGCCAGTGGCAGTGACGTCGCTGGGGAGAGGCTTAGCCGCCTGCAGCGGCACGTGATGCTGCTGAGTCAGTCGAGCGACACCGCCACCCACCTAACCGCCGCCGTGATGGGCATGGCGGCGGCTGGGACGGGTGCCGGCGGCACCGCCGCCACCGCTGCTGACGGCGTGGATCTTGTCATGTTAGAGGCGTGGCCGCGGGGCCCGTCTTGGGCCCACAGTGAGAGCGACAGGGCTGTAGCTGTTGTCGGTGGTGACGGGGGCGCCGGCATGGGCCGCCTGGGCCAGCTGCATGGCGGCGCTGTGGATCCTCTGGATCTGGAACTGTTGTCCATTGCATCGGAGGTACGTTGAAGGGTTGCCCCTCTGCCTCGGCTGGGAAAAGGTGGGGGCGTCGGCGTGGTGCTTGCGTCGGCGTCTGCGGCAGCAGCGTCGGCGGCGGGGTGTACCCCCGCGTGAGAGCGGAAGCGGAAGTCACAAGAAGTCGGAGACCGTGGCGTGGCGTCCTGCTTTAGTTTTGCGTAGCCCATCCCCCACGCCGCTGTCCATCCCCCTGTTCTTTCCCATCCCACACTACGTGATGGCGCGCGTGTTTGTAACATGCGCCAATTTTATGCGTTTACCGTCCTGCGTGGTCTTACGACTATGAGTAGCCGTAGCACAGCCTCTTTGCCGACTCCTTGGCGTTTGACAAGGGACCGCCTTCCCTCGCCTTGCTCTTTACCTAATCCTTAAGATTGGGCTTGGTCGGCGGAATGTCACCTGCGCCATGTTGTCTCTCCACTCTAAAAGAGAATCCCAACACGCGTATACGGCAACCTGATCTTTGCCCTCTGGTTAGGCTGTATAGTCACGTCCCACAATCCCTTCGCCGCCGGTGCTGTCCTGATGCTGGTTAGCCTTACCCATCCTTGGCCACTCCACCTTTCCCGTCACGCCGTGGCAGTCGCTCATGTCCGATCAGGACCTACCGCACCAAGGGGGCTTTGGGGGCGGCGCCGCCTCCGGCTTAGGCCTCGTGCTGGGGTTACCGCACCACCAAGCGCTACAGCCGCCGCCCCAGCAGCAGCAACAACAGCGGCAGCAGCACCACCACCACGACCAGCAGCAGCCGCGCCCCTATCAGCCACTCAACCTCAGCAACCAGCAGGCGAATGCGCTTCGGCTCGATACGGAGCCCATGGGGATCTCTCGCAGCGGCGGCAGCGGTTACCCGGGGGCTAGCCTGGCTGCCAGCGGCGGCGGTGGCGGCGAAATGTACTCTCGGCTCGCTTTGCGAGACGCCGTGGGACGAAATGGCGCAGGTGGCGTCAGCAGCGGTACGCCCAATCTGGGTCCTCCCGGGGCCCAGAAATCACTGTTCGTCTTCCCCGGCGGGGCCGCAGCGTCCGGCGGGCTTCTGGTAGGGCAGGGGGGTCGGCCTGATAGGAATAGCGGCAGCGGTAGCGAGCCCGGCGGCGCGGCAGGCGGTCCCGGCGGCGGCAGCGCACCGTCGTGCAATGGCCTGACGGATTCCGTGGTGGTAACGGGGGGGGAGGCTGGTGGGCGTGGAGGACCGTTTGCTGCGAAGGCAATGCTGCTGGACTTTGGAAGCGGCAGCCGTGCGGCTGCAGGTGGGGCGGCAGCGGATTCAGGCTTGGACGGCCTGGGTATCAGCCTCCGCCTCCCCAACCAACACCATCATCAACACCATCAACATCAATATCAGCACCAAGCCAGAGTTCTATCACTGGGAGGTCCGCAGCATCAAAGCATGATGGCTGGCGGCAGCAACGCTGGTGCTGGGGGGGTTGCCAGCCTCCGCGGCGCAGCCAGCGGGCTGGGACGAACTCTTGACCTGACAGCCACGGACCCGCTGCTTCAACCCCAACAGCCACAACAACAGCCACAACAACAGCCACAACAACGGCCACAACAACAGCCGCAACAACAGCCGCAACAACAGCAACGACAACAGCAACACCAACATTTTAACATGCCGCTGCAGCTCCGTTTGTTGCACCAATACAACCAGCAGCAGCAGCAGAACAGGCCACAGCACCGGGTACTAGGGTCGCACATCTATCAGCCTCACACAGCCTTGTCGTCACCCGTACATCTTGCTCCTCACGTCAAGGAGGCGGCTCAGGGCCTGCTGGGTGAGCGTTTGGCGGTTGCAGTAGCAATAGCGGTAGTGGTAGCAGGATGTGGTCCGGGTGCTCTTGCTTTTCCGCCGGTGCTCTTGCTTTTCCCCCTACCGCTGGACCGGACTTTGCACGTTTACTTCCCCGTCGTCGCTGCTTCTGGCCCGAACCCAGACTACGGCCATTTTCCCCCGGCACCGCTTTGCCAAGCCCCTTCGTTGCCTCCTTTTCCTGCCCTGCCCCAACCCCGCCCGCCAATCCAACAAGGAGGATGGCCCCTATAGCCAGGCTCCCAAAGCACATCCAAGAATGCCGGTCCATATCGGTCCAAAAATAGCTCCCATGGATCCGGATCTGATACTCCATGGATCTGAAACCGATACCCATGGATCCGGTTTCCCGACCTGGGCCCTCCCTCTCTGTCCCACTTCATCTGCCACCTGTGCCCCGCCCGGTGTCCGC